CTTCACGGAATGTATTACTAACATCCTAAACAACTTTTGTTCCATGATTTTTAATAATTAATCACATTTTACTAATATTTTAAAAACAAATATTTAAAAAGATCGTTCTAAACGGTGTTACTCTATGCGGTAGCAAAAGAAAGCACGCGGGATGCGTTGCTAAACAACTTACTACCAAAATACAGATCTAAAAACTGTCAGATAATACAAAAAAACTTAAAAAAATATTTTTTGGTCAATTTATTGTGTTGTAAAAAGTCATGGAACTAAAGTTGTTGTTTATAATGTTAGTAATAGTCCTGCAATGTTGTTAGTATTTTAAAAATAACCCTGTATAGCTTACAAGTCATGAATAATGTAGTAAATTAGTTACTAAACAAAGACAAATTTCAAATTATGTGTAACGCTACATTTGGTGATTTTCATGTGTTCCGCAGAGAATAGTTGCTTAACTAGGACGTTGTAAATAAGCGTTTTACCAATACTTCACAGTAAACTCACTAGATGTCGCAACGACAACACAAAAGGACTAAGTATAGCTACATACAATACACTGTAGAAAATAAAGTTTACAAAGTAAACCAAACACGGTGAGCTTATGAATTTTGTAGTGTAAGTAATCAGAAACCGTTTTAGTTATTCAATGTATCAAAAGTGCTGAATTTTAAAGTAATTCTAGTGGTGCCACTAAAAAAAATTAGCAGGTAACTAAAAGTAGCATTTTACCAAGGTAAACATTTTTTTAAATAAGCTACAAGCAATAGCCTGTTTTATTATCTGTTCCAATTCAATTTCAACAAAAAGTAAACAAACCTGTTTGGTTAAAATTCTAAAGCAATCACTCAATAAATCGAGTAAGTAACACTTTCACGTATATTTCGAAGATTTCGACTTGATATGTCATCACTTTTTCCAACAATATTCATTTGAATAGCATCGTAAAATCGTATTTGAAAAATGGTAGTTCAAAAGTGAGGTTATTTTTCATCTATACTTGGTTGCCTAGTGCTGTACGAAAAGAAAACATTTCGTTCATTCAATTAAAGTTTTTGTAATCGATTGGTAAATCGAAAATTTCAATCGCAATCGAACGAGTATCTAAGTGTAAATATTTGAAGGAGGATTTAAAATTAAGATTTCGGAAATTTTAAGTATATGCTTTTATACTAGAAATAAATGCTTTTAAACTGCCTCCGTGGCCGAACGGTTACCTTGCCGGACTGCCACGCAGAGGTCCCAGGTTCGATTCTCGGGCCGGGAGAAATATTTGTATGGCCTACATTTATTTCTCTCGTGAGTTTGGGTGTAATTTGTGGTTGTCTATGTGTGTGTCCATGGCACCCGCGACACAGGGTTTCCCTACTGCGGGGCTATGTTGCTTGTGAGCGTGAAAAAAAAATTAAATAAAAAAATAAAAATATGTTATGTATTTTTACTAGCCATGTAAGGAAAACCGCTAGTAAAACTAAATTAAACAAATCGATTCATTCAATCAATTAATCGATTTTTAGTTTGCATTACAATTGGCCATCACTAAACCGTCTATGGTCAGGTCAGTGACTTATTTGTTTACTTTTTGTTTAAAATGGATTGAAATGAAAACTGAAATGAAACATTAGTTTCATTAGCGGACATTGTAAACAGTAAAACTATTTCTGGAAATCCAGAATTCGAAAAAGTTATTAATTAGTATTTGGTGGTTTTAATCACTCCTTGTATCTATACGTAGACATGTATCTACTCATTTAGAACACCCTATTCTAACCATTGATAATAAACAAACTAATGAAAATCCAAACTGCTTTAGTACGAAATCCTTCGTCGCCAAACTCTCATACTTATTAACTCAATCTTACATGACATTAGTATTGACTGGTTGTAATTATCAACCGAAATTAGACAAATAGTAAATACCTTTTCGTCAAAAAATGAACCTTATTTGAATACAGTAATGTTTACTATTAACGACGTCAAAACCAGGTCTTATAATCAGTAGTAAAATTATACAGCAAGGAACATAATGAGCATGTATCAAATTTAATTGCAATACCTCAAGAATCGCAAGCATAATGCTCATTTTAATCTTTTCCATTCATTAAAACGTTCTTCTGTAAAGTTGTGACAAACTCACAATTTGCGATTCTTTATTTAGGAAGGATCGATATGAACTATTTGCTTTTTTAGTTCTGTCACTAAATACTAGGTGGCAATGTATTCAATTGTTCTTATAGAAGTTTACTTCAATCTAGAAATGTTTTAGACGTCAGTGAGAGCTTTGACGCACTTTTAGAGCGCTTTCAAATTAGACGCTTTTAGAAGCACTACAGTGGAGCCACTACTAATTTTGATACAATATTTAGAAGCGCAGTTGCAGCGCCACTGTCGTGCCACGCGCGCGCACTTTTACAGCCACGATGAGTCAAATGGTCGTGGTTGGTACAGCAGGTGTCCATTACCGTTCAGCAAGGTTAATGATGCCAGTATAATGGGAACTTTTCAGCCGGACACGATGCGGGGCAGGATTTTTTATTAGGTTAGGTATATTTGACGAAATCTTTTGTAAATCCCAGTTTTTTGTATTTTAGTACGTATTCACGAAGCCTAGTCCTGATGGTAGCCTACTGTAGGTAGTAAGGAAGTAATTTTGAATATTTCACGTGTAATTAGTAAAATAAAAATTTCGGAAGCGCCACTGTCGCGCTTCTACAGGCATCTGATTTGAAAGCGCCCTTATGTTCTATGGAACACAACTATAGCTATAAGGGAACGTCCCACTGTAGTTTTTTTTATTTCATAGCCGGGCACATTGCAACTATACTTAATTTTGTTAATGTTCCACAAATAAATGGGTTACGCATTATAAACACATAATGTAGCGTTACTAACTAAAATCGTAATAAAATCATGTAACTATCAGAGATAGATATCAAACAAAAATATTGTGATGAAATAACATATAATGTAATATCACGGAAAAGATGTTTCCGATGCCGGGCGCATATCACGATCACATAGACTAAGCGAGTTGCCAAATGTAAATAATAATAGTGTTTTAAGACTAGTTTATAGGTATTTTTGTCTGATTGTCAGAGTTTTTAGCTTGCGGATACATGGGTGGAACAAAAACCTTGACGAATTTTTTATGTGCTGCGGTTTTTTTATTACTTTAGGTTGCCTTGTTATAAACTTTTGATGTATGCATATGTATGCACACATGTTTATAATGAGAATTATTCGTATAAAACGCGTTTTCATTTCGTACAATAGAACAACGATCATCGTATCTTATCCTACAACTAAATCTGTGGCTCTAGTGAAAAGGGGTACGAGTAAAAGACAACATTACAAGGAGACGCGAAAAATAGTTATTAAGCGTTAAGTGTTTCTCAAGTTTCCTTGTAAAGTGGGCTTTTTTTACATGTACCCCTTTTCACTAGAGCCACAGAAATTATATGTGATAGCTGCTACTTTTGATTACTTTATAAATTATTGATGTGTTTTATTTTGTAAAATAAATCCACTAGTTTGTTATAATTATTAAAATACAAAGATCGAACGTCCACGTCAACAAGGAAAGTCCTTCGACCCGACAGGACTCGAACCTGCGACCACGGGATCCCATCACCATTGCTTTACCAACTAAGCTACAGGTCGAGTTGCCAAGTCGACAAATTTCTTTAATGTGTCTGTTATAGACCTTTGCACTGAGTTTTCGGCTTTCGACACCGTAGCGACATCTATAAGTGATTTTATGAAAATGGTGAGTTGTGTTCCATTTTTGCATTCAATAATTATACAAACTTAAATATCAAATGTCTTGTACTGGTACTAGATGACGAGTGGCAGTGTATGGTAAAACAGAAATTGGTTTTAGTGACACTGTACTGTATAACTGTAAACTATGTTTATAAATAAATAATTTTTAAATGCTCGCAACTTGAGCCAATTAGGCTCAGTATAGATAACAAGTTCAGTGTCTCCACCATGAGTTTGCATTGACAGTTGTCGGTAACGAAAGCGTAAGGTCCAATTTACATTTGGAAAAAAGAGAATTTATGAAACAAAATGAACTTATTACAAAAAGGCTTTCAAAAATTAAATACGAATTTTAAGGTAATTTTTTTAACCGTGCCGTAATGAACTTCATACGTACAAATTAAATACGACCCAAAAAACAGGTCTTCTTACGCGTCTTACGGAAAATTCCTACCGTATCGTATCTACACAGTACGATACACAATTGCACAGAGTTCATCATGCTTTACAATTTGCTTACAAACTTTCCACGGCAATGTAAATTGTGGCTGAAGTATTTGACAATTTGTGCAACGCCCCTAGCGGTCACAAGCAGTAACATTTAATATACAAATCTTTTACGCGATCGTTGTCTACTGTGACTATGAATGCATGGTAGGTTCTCGTGTTTATAGAAAAATGTCGAAACTACAAAAATTTTAATTGTCAGTAGCTAATGACGACGCCTTATTGTTTCTTCCATGTGTTCGCAATATTTAGAATAAATTTTATTGTAAAGTGAAGTAGCTGACTGTAGATGTTCTAGATTTTTTCTAGCCCTACTTTTAATTTAGTCCTTAACTTTAACTCTCGTGTGTCCAGAGGGAATCGCCAGCGTTTTATATTATCATTTATTTTTATTTCTAACAATGTCTGTTGATATTTGATGTATTAAATTATATTTTCTAGACATAATGTGGTATTTATTTATTACTTCACGGTATAACTTGCGTAAAAAAAAATTATGAGAAATTACTGAGTACTCTAATTATAGTAATCACATTTGCTATAGCCTTCACCAGTTCGTGACTTCAGAAGTCACGAACTTGAATTAAGGTAAAAGAAAACAAGATCAGAAAGTATACAAAGTCTGATTCTTTATTCTGTGTAATCCAGTTTTTTTCACTGTACAGGGAATTAACAAGGGTTCAGTGGGCAACAATTCTCACAACACTTTACAAACGATATTTATTTCAAATTTACTAGGTATATGTACATCACGCGGGGGCGTCGTGAGAACGATTTGAGGTCGACAACACGGTACAAAAACATCTCACTCAAATTCACAGTCTAAATAGGTACATTATTACTTGCACAATACTGCATCGAAATTCTAAATACGTCACAGGAGTCGACTAGTTGAAAAAAAAATACGAATCGATCGAAAGAAAAAATCTTACACACTAGGTACCGTAAAATTAGTTACACTTTATACAATCGCAAACACTTCGAGGAAGATCATGCAATAAACAATGTAAAAATCGCTGTTACAAAACGGGGGAATTTAACCCGTGAATGCATCGGAGTACGGCCGCGAGGCCCGTCGCCGCGTCACGCGAAGCCCGGGGGCGAACGAAGAGACGAACGTCGAGGAGCCTCGGCCGCGGGGGACCTGATTGGGCGTCGTGTGCAAGTGAGTGAGCTCGTACGTGGCTTGGCTGTGGGGCGTGGCGCTACGAGCGCGCCGTGTGGTTGTGCTGCGCAGGCGACGCGGACCGCCCGGCCGGAGCCGCCGTAGGCGCCGTGTCGTTGTGCTCCTCGGGCGGCGGCTGGCGGCCGGCGCTGGCCCGCAGGCAATCGCCGTGCGCCTTATACTCGATGGGCATGGACGGCGGCAGCTGCAGGATCCGCCGCAGCGCATCGCGGACGCGTGACGCGGCCACCGTGTCCGACGCTGTCCGGTGCCACACCGCTAGGTGGTCTTCCTGCAATTGCCGCCAAAAACAAAATCACTCTCACAAGTCAACGCTTTGACGACATTATATTAAATATCGAACTCTCCTATTTCCCATGGAAACGAAAAAACCAAATCAATTTGTGCCAAATCAAACGCACAGTCCAGTCAACTTAAAAATTCTTTTTTGTTTAATACAAGTAATTTCGTGTCAAAGCCAAAGTTAATGACAATAATACCTGAAAACGCACGGAGAGTACGACACCGCACAACTCCGCACCAACCATGAACTGTTCACCGAGCATCGCCATGCACAGGTCCTCCCAAGCTCGCCCCGTCTGCGACTTACGTAGCCTGACCACCTGAAAGTAAACAGTGCAGCATTACATTTAGACCTTGACATGTCACATGTCAACTGGTGACCAAAACACTATACGAGGAGAATTACATGTACTAACCCACTTCCCGCCATTGACATTAGCCGGGTCCTCCCACATGGGCTTGATGCCGATCTTGAAGAGGTGCAGGTCGGAGAGTGGTGGAAGCTCCGCGGGCCGCGCCAGGTGAGTGTACAGTCCCCACCACTGCTCCACGCTGGCCACGCGACCCACCAAGCGAAGTGCCTATGAGCAATATTTTTTATCAATAAAGTATAAGAAATTGAAGTAGGGCAGGCACAATAAAAAACATTAACTATCAAGTAGAGATAAATTTTGTATACAAAGCCCGAGAAATAAGAGAAAGACCTATATCATACTGCTATTACAGTAGTGTTGCAACTCAAAAAATGTGAAATTCAAGATTATACTATAACTGAATGTCAAATTTGAATCTCTAAACATGAATACAAACGTCATTAGAATATTGTAAGAAACAATTAAAAGATGTCCACTTAACTCAAAATGCGACAAATATGTTTGTGACCTAGTTTTGGACAAAACAGCCCTAATTCAATAAAATTAAATGGTTTTTCCATTTTATTTTGAAATATATAAATAAAATATCATTCACAGGAAGAGTATAATTTGCTTTTCATCGATTCTGAAATAAATACACTTTTTGAATTAATACACTATTGTATAATTAAATATTGTATAACAGGGTGTTATATATGTGTTACATTGGAAATAAAAGATTTTTTTATGACTTAGTCATTTTGTGACAAGTGTGAATCACTAATAGTGAACAATTTCAATGTTTCTGCTTCACATAAAACTCAAATTTCACTTATTTTTAGTATGTTACTTAATATAAATGCAAAATTTAGTTATTGTAAAACAGATATATTCTGAGGTACTATATAGCCTATTATTAAGCGATTAATATTGTTACATGTTTGAAAAAATCCTATTCACTCTAGCTTTGAATAGCACTGACTTGTAGTTTGGAGAAACAAATGTTGATTTTCTATTCCATTCCTTTGGTATAGTAAATTTAAACTATTGTTTACATTTAGAGGTGTCTTGAAAATACTGTAGATCTCAATTGTAATTTAGTATAAATACAAAAGAGATGGTCAGACATTAAGGTTAATTTGTCAGTTTGTTGGCACAAAGGCCAATTTTTATAAGACACTAACGGTATTCTAGAACTCTACTCAATGCTCAAGTCAGGATTGCACTGGAAATACGACTCTAATGGCAGGGACTTTAGTATGATTTCCAGTGCTTTGAATACTCAAATCCTGACTTGAGCATTGAGTAGAGTTCTGGAATACGACCCTTAAACTCAGTAGCATTTAGCAAAGGGGAAACTTGGTTAATACCTAGATTTAGCCAGTTTTTTTATATGGAAATTAAATACTGTGTTGGGAACCTAATGTTAGTGTTGCTAATAAATAAACAACTAAATAATAATAAAAAAATTGATATGTAAGAATGTTTCATTTTCAACTGTATTTAATTATTTATTTTCTACAATCTTAAATTCATCAAGGTGTGCAAAATTTTCAGTAGTAACTGAAAATTTTCAAATTATAACAGGTTATAGCAACATGTTTGTACAGATGTTAAAAGTAAATTCATACATATTATATCTTAGGTTTTCGCAATTGTTTTTTCGGATCTAAGTCAGCCAGCTGAGATCATGGGACCTGTAAAGGGCCCGAAACATTGATATGGTTGAAAAAACATTTCCATTTCATATTTATGAAAGGAAATGTGGATAAGATTCCGGTAAACATTGTTTTGCAATGTATTTACATGAATACTGGTATGAAAATAAATGGTCATTCACAGTAAAGGTGGAATTTTAAGGAAGTGAATTTATTAACTATGTAAATTTATTAAATGTGTATCAAAAATATATGTATTATTGTAATGTAATTATTTTCATCATGCTCTTTCACACCCCTCATAAATAGTGAAGAAGCCAAAATGTTTATTAAAATAAATGTCATATTCAGCCAGAGTCAGGGATGCCGGTTCATGATACAATGAATTATTTGTGTATTATTCCAGTTACTTCTTTAAGGTCTGTACAGCCCTTCATCACATGAACAACATATCTATTGCGATCACCACTAATTACAACTTGGGAGTCAAGACCTGTAGAATTAAAGAACTGTAGGACTTTCTTAGGTATAGTATAGTATAGTATAGTATAGTAGGCCCTTCATTTTCTTAGGTCTGTTTTAAGGCTGGAGTGAGTTTTTTTTTATAGTCATTAATGGGCAACAAGGACCTTAGTGTCTCTTCCCGTTTTTTAAAGCACCTGAAACAACCATAAGGTATCTCTCTCTATGCATAGACTAATGGTGATTATCTTCTTTGTCCTGGCCTTTTGTCCCATTTCTTTTGGGGTCAGATATCTTACTCCTGGTGTGCCAGTCCTGGTGATTTTGCAAAAGCTCAGTGTCTCGACCCATCATCTTCATAATGTTTATAATATTATTCTAAACATGTATGCTGATAACTGTAGAAATGAACTGCATTTTCTGTATTTTTATTAACTTAGTATGGTGTATGAAGATCCACAGTGGGAAACACAGGCACACCAGAGGACATAAAAACTGTCAGAGCCAGAAAAGTCCTTTAGTTCTTTAATGTTGTCGGCCTTGGTGTCGTTGCTCGGCCGTCGCAGTAATGTGAACATTACTGCGTGCCAGTTTCGAAGGGCAAGGGTACTGGTGAAATTACAGGCACATGGGACTTGTCAACTTAAATCTCAAGGCGCTGTGGCAGTGCCCCTCAAATCTTTGTGATTTAAAGCTCTGGGTGGCAGTGCAACTGTTATAGACAGGCTTGTCTTACCACCAGACACACAACTTGTTTGTCCTGTCATTTAGTTATAAAAAAAATAAAAAAAGCCACCCTAATAATAATAACGATGTCAGGACCATGCATGGTTTGGTGTATTTGCTGCCAATTTTATTATTAAGAGTCTTACGCAAGCAAGAAACATTATGTATGTTCTGAAATTAGCATAATTTAATTCAAATAAATTACTTTCTAACTTTCTAAAACAAAATTCAAAAGTGCAATTTAATACTGTTTTAGGTTTCTAACTATTAAAAGTTAAGTTTCCTTGTCTGAGTCTAGCAGATAATAGAACTTACCTATAGAATAGTTTCTAAGTTGGATATGGGTTTAGGTATCAATGGTAGACAGGGAATAGGGTTGTAAGTATACCTGTCCATAACCAGTGGTGGAGGCGGAGAGGTCACGGGCAGGCGGTCGCCGTGAGAACCACATCCAGTAGCTATACTCCAGTTTGTGCTCGTTCGGAGGTACGGGAGGAGGAACCGCTTCCTCTGTGTTCCTCTCGTCTTCATCGCCGCCTCCGCCATGGTTTTGCGTTGCGCCCCCCGCACCACCCTCCCCCGATCGTCGTTCAGGCACATTTAAATTGTAAAACTTGCACATTTTCCTTTCAGTCATGTTATTCTAAATATTGTACTAACATGTTTCACTAACGGCCTAACCTAGGACACGTTTCTTATTTTGAGGTACCAGACTTTATCAAACGAAAACTATGATACTATTATTATACTACAAAATTTAAGTCAGCTACAAGTTAATCAATTTATTTATTAATAAATATATCTTTTAGTCAGCCTATTCCCTCTTTTTCTGTGTATAACCTTTTTCTTTCCGTCATCAAAATTCAAACTGTCAAAAATGTCAGCATGGGTGAAACCACACAAAATTAATTGCATATAATATTTCAAGGTAAACGAGTTGCGTTATATACATCTTATTGTTACACAAAAGAGATGCAAGATAAAAAAGAACACTTTGGTATTTAGCTGGTTAATATTTGTACAGCGTATGTCCACAGATTAAAAAATGTATATTCCATCACGATTAAAGCTACAAACATACCATTGGACGAGTTTAGGCCGTGAATTTTGTCTTTCACAGTCACAACTAGTGTTGGGCCATGGAAAAAAATTATCATTTTAATGTAATGTTCTACGTTTTGAAGTTTTATTTAGCGAGAATAAAAAAAATTAACTTGTATGTCTAACAGCCACGTAACAGAAAAACGAGATTTAAAATTATCTCACAATAGCCAAAAAACCTCCAACAACCCTTTTGACAGGTGTCAACGTCAACTGTGGAAAAATAAAGAAAAAATATTTGAAATATGCCCGGAAAATATTTTGTTGAATCAATATTATTTTCAATTTAGTTTTTGTCTAACTTTCTCTTAGCTATACAATTTTCATTTATAATTCAAGCCAAATAAAAATTCAAATTATATTTTCAAACGAAGAACATAGGTAACACTTCGAATTGTATTATTCCAATTTTTGAAATTTTTCGGAAAATTACCTAACAGTAGTGATCGAAGACTTGGCTTAATAGATTATTCCGATGCCGTGATATTAATATACATGTATGTACGAAAAAAGAATGTTATCCAATAATTTTATATTATTTCGAAGCACCACCGTCGAAAACATTTAATTTTTGTAATGGAATACAAGAAAGAAACCACTCTGATTCTTGGCTGTATAGGCATTAGTGCCTTTGCCTTTTCAAATGGAAAGAAAACAGTATAAAAAAAAGAAAGATTTGACCCTTGACAGTTATTGGTTTGTTTTTGATAACTTTAAATTTTGCGTCGGATATTTTATGAATTATTTAGAATAGTTCTTAGTTATGTTTAAATATAATTAACAACACGCATTAATAGCTATTTATAAGTTATAAAGTAGTTATTTAAGAAGTCTAAAATGGCTAAAGCAGAGGCTACCGGTGGAACGAGTACCCAGATTTTAAACATCGAGTTTATGAGATCCCTGGTCAAACAATACTCCGAATTGGTTAATAAATTATTTCTTCTTCAAACTGATAAACTTATATCTACCGTAGAAAGAAGCGAATATTGTGTATTGTATTTTTCAGTAACGTATTTGTTAAGGTTATATTTACTATTTCTTTATAATTGTAAACAAACGTTTCTATGTATACATTAAGATAATCGTTTTCGATTTGCTGTTCATAAATAGATTCTCTTTAATATGATTACCATTGTTATTAAATTGAACGGTGTACATTTATATAGTGTTCTCATTGCTTTAGGGTCAATGGACAAGTGCACTGTTCTGGGCGGATGCGGCGGCAGGTACAGGGAGCGCGGGGGGTGCGGCTAGCGGCGACGACGTGTGGTTACTGGCTAGCACAATGTTGGCACGAGGAGAATTACACCGGGCTGCATATGCAGTAACTTCGAGGGGATTACACAGGTGAATAGTGTTGACCCAGTTGCGTTTGTTTCTATTTGTTTAAATCCCTCGGTGCTAGGTATGTAGTACTCTATCTTCGTATTTAAAAGAGGAAGCTCTTGTCGAAGGAGTCATCACCAACCATCCTTATTTAGCACCTTAACCTTGATTTCCTGATACAACACAACATTAACTTTTTGCTTTAACTGATCTAACTAACTTTTCGTAGCAGTAGAGCTAAAGAGTTTGTCCAGGGAAATACTGCCACCTTACATATTTCTGCTGCCAAATGCTAATGTAAGCATTACTGCGCGCATAGTGGCCATTTCCCTCAGAGCTTTGCGATTTGAAGCTCTGAATGGTACTGCTACTGCATGGGCAGGTCTACCACCAGGTACACAACTTGTTTGTCCCATCACTTGTATCCTCTATCTTCCACTATCTTTTTCTTCAATCATTCCTAATATTAAAAGTAATATTTGACTTGTTAGGACAATTGCCAAAAGAAAATGTTATTGTTTTTCCAGGCATTAATAGAAGGCTGCATCAATTACTGTATTTTCATTATCATTCTTTTTACTACAACTAAATTATTGTGATAAAAATACAAAAAAAAACTAAAAAACAAAAGAAAGCAAAGTTTTTTAGTTTCAGAAGCCCTGATAGCAGCCTACAGTGCCAAACACTAGAGTAGCAGTCGAAGAAGAAGAAGTCACTCGGTTCATAAACGACAACCTTTCCGTGTTTGTTTTTTGAAAGTAATGCAAAAATTTCTGAGCATGTTTGAGAAAATAATATTTACAGAGCCTGCACATGGAGCGGCCACTATGGAGAGACACCAAGTAGCAGGAAAGGGAACAATTTGTCAGAAAGTCTTTACATGTGACTAAATTGACCATAGTACATAGGATATATATTTTTTTTATAACATCAAGTGACGGGACGAGCAATACGTACACCTCATAGTAATCTAGAAGCCTGTCCATAATGCAGTGCCACTCAGAGCTTTAAACCGCATAGATGTGAGGGGCACTGCCACTGCGCCTGTCAGACATAAGTTGACAAGTTCCATGTCATTGAGGATAGTGCAATTACTCGTAACTAGCATTTGATTATGAGTTTCCATTTCGGTATTTTAGTAGCCAAATCAAATCCGCGTAAATGTCGTGACAGCCATATTTGCGCCATTTACGGGAATCTATAGTTATCAGTCCATACACAACATAATATAATGCTTACTATGCAAAATTGGAAGTCGTGATAGCTATAGAAATAACAAAATAATAATGTCTAATCCCTCTCCTGTGAAATTTGGTTTACTGCAGATACGCGCCTTTTTACCGATATAGATTTGCACTATCCCTGACGATTTATCTATAATTTCATCAGCACGTGGGTAAACCTTCAAAACCAGAACACAGTAATGCTGACGTTATCGCTTGGCGGCAGAAATAGGTAGCAGTACTTCCCTGTAAAATAGAAATAATTAATTAAAATTCATTTATTTCAGACGACATCTACTCTGTCTCGGCGTGGCGATGCGTGCGTACGTGTCGGCAAAGGAGCCGACAGCCGCGCTCACGCTCTACGAGGAATGTGATGATATATTATTGGAGCCACGAAGTACCGACCAGACTCATAATGTAAGATCCATGTTCAATCAAGTTCTCCAAATTTAAACAGCTAAGTTTTGTATTGAAAATGAAATAAATTTTTTTTGGATCTAAATCCCTTATATTAACAATATTGATTGTAATGAATATTATGGTGTTGTACTACCATGATACTAATTTATGATAGATACTTATATACATACCACATAGGTGGCACATGCATTACCGAAAAGGCCTACTTTTTTGTCTATTGTACTCGAAAAACAAAGCAATAAGATGCACCGGTGCAAATAATATTTCTTCAACTGTAGATGATTAATTATTATTAGAATGATCGAAAGAAAAATTCCTTCGACCCGACAAGACTCGAACCAGCGACCACGGGAACACCGTCGCCTCGCTCTTCCATCTTTTTTTTTTTTTTTTTTTTTTATATGTATACATGACAGGCAAATGACTCCACTCCACCTGATGTGGTGGTGAAGTGGAAAGTGGTATCCAAACGCGAAGGAACCTAGTGCAGCGATGAAATCCTCACTGCACTAGCCACCTCCACCCTGCCTGCCTACAATATGCCTCTTCACGCCTCGTTTGAAGGACCCCATATCATAAGAGGGAGGGAAGACATGTGCCGGAAGGGAGTTCCATTTGTCAACCGTGCGGCAGAGAAAGGAGCCACCGAACCTTTTAATACGCGATGGAATTCGGCAGGTAGTGAAACGGAGACTACGAAGGCCAGCACGCGTGCTTCTGAGCAGGAACGGGGAAGGGGGGATGAGGTTGAACAGCTCTGAGCTACAGGTAGAATTAGCAGGACGACGAAATTCTTATACGTGTCTGTTATATGATCTTTGTATTGACTGTTTTCGGCTTTCGACGTCGTACGTGTATGTGATTGTTTTTTTGCAGAGAGCACTAGCAGGAGTGCTCGTGTGGCAAGCGCGAGCGCTAAGCCTGCTGGACCGGCGCGACGCGGCGGCGACGGCGCTGTCCAGCGCGCTGCGCGTCGACGCCGCGTGTGTAGAGGCCCTAGACCTGTTGCTTGATCAACACGCATTTGCTCCATCACAGGGTGAGTGTATCTTGTCACCATTATCTAGTTGGTAGACCAGCCCTAAAGCATAGTATAAAAAGGCAAGTAGGGCAATTCCCGCGTATTCGGCGTGTAAGTGCCTGTATTTTGCTCGTAGCGTAGGGTTGTCACATGGCAACCGCGTGTTCGGCGCGTAAAACCCAATGCAAAATATTTCGCTCGGAGAGTAGGGTTGTCACATGGCAACTCCCGGTTGTTCGGAGCGTGAATGCCTATACGTAATATTTCGCTCGGAACGTACGGTTGTCACTTGGCAAATCCCGCGTGTTCGGCGCTTAAATGCCTATACATAATATTTCTCTCGGATCGTGGTGTTGTCACATGGCAAATCTTTTTTTTAAATAAAATATGAGCGCGCATTTGACCTCCATCGCACCTGATGGAAAGTGACGATGCGGTCAACGATGGAACATGCACACGTAAATAATTACCGTGAAAAGACCCAAGTTGTAACATTTAGGGAACAAGTCTGCAGGCAGGGAATTCCACTCCATGGCTGTTCGCCATATAAATGTGTAAAAGCGTAGCGCTTCGTGCGAATCTTTGGAATATCCACAACATAGGGGTGGAACCCAAATGCACACCTAAATAATGCCTATTCACTCTTTCCTTGAAAAGACCCAAGTTATAACATTTAGGGAACAAGTCTGCAGGCAGAGGCTTTAGAAATGTCCAAAGGTGTTTTTGCAAGTGCTTCGCCTTGCTTTTCTATGGCCTCGTTCCATATATGACAAGCACACACAAGAAGATACCCAGTAGATCGCCCTCGTCGGAATTCGTACTGGCGATCCTTGGGGAGGTCGTTGTCTTCAAGGTACGACAGGAGACGATTCGGAACTCCCGCGTGTTCGGTGTGTAAATGCCTATACGTAATATTTCGGTCGAGGCGTAGGGCTACTATTTTAACGTTACTATTTTAGTTGTACCTACAGGTTGTAAACATAATTTGAAAAAAGTTCAGATGTGCATCACAGTGTCCTCGTGCTATATGAAAGTAACCTTTGTCAATTGCAGTACTTACGGATTCTTATCTCGATTATGGGAGTATTATTTTGAGTTACAAAACAAATTCTGAACAATTCTGAACTTGAGGCACTCTTGTTTAAACAACCATATAAACACGTCTACTATTAGATATAATTTTTTTAAATGTTAGTAAATGTAAAAAATCGGTCCACTATTTGAAAAGCAGCTATATGAACTATTTTGGTTTAAACCACTGTTCGTGAAAAGCTGCGGTATGCTTTCAGAGAGCGAGTTAATAGAATCCCTGCCCATCGCATCGCAGCTGGGTGCGGCGGAGGGCGCGCTGGTCCGCGCGGCGTACAACGAGCGCCTGCGCCGATACGCACCACCCACGCCGCCCATGGATACCACCCCGTCAGACCCTGACTGTCCGGTGAGTGAATTTATACATGTACTTATATTTTGGAAACATGGCCTCCTAGAAGAAGGTACCTAGCGTAATTAAAAGAAGAAGCAGAATTTTTAGATAAGTGTAGACATAAAAACATAAAAATTGTTCATGCGCGTTTTGGCGTGAAGATTACTGGAATCCGCTGGATGTGAGCAGCGTAAAACGGGTATTTGAGGTGATAGGCCTATGTGGATAACTAAATATTTTGTATAATGAAAAATATTCCCACTATTCGCAGTAAAATCCATTCAGTAATTTTTTTAAACACCCACCGTTTTTGAGTTACAACAGTATTCTGTTTGATGTGCAAATGTTACTCGCTTCAATTGTTTTTGATTCACCTATACGTGTCAGATAACACAAGAAGTGGAAGCGGCGCGCTCGCGCACAGCAGAGGCGGCGATGTGGCGCGGGCGCAGACTCGCCGCCGCCTGCGAGTGGGCTGAGGCGCTAAAAGCGCTTGACCAAGGTTATCATACGTTTACGTTTTTACTTTACTTCGTTGGCTCGTAACCATTTGCTATAAGAACTATTTTATTCGCACTTTTACTCGTACGACTAAATATCTGTTATGTATCATGTTACTATTTATTGATTTTTTTAAAAATGATAGTGTTTTGACTCTTTCTCACGAACGATAAAAAGATTCCCTGAACTGCTCATGACCGGTTTGAGACCACCTGCTGACTGTGCTCTACATATTAACCTTGCGCAGGGGTCTTTTTATTCAACAATAACTTCTAAGGTGACAATTGTTACATCGATTTGAAGAACAACTCAAAAACTAACAGTAAAATACAAAAACAAGTAATGCCGTTTAATAAAGGCGCCGTGTGTAACTATTCTTACTTTGCAGTGGACCCGTGGTGCTGCGCAGAAGTACGCGTGGCGTGTCTCGTGGAACTGAAAAAGAGTTCCGAACTTTTCTCTTTCGCTCACTTGCTCGTTGACGCCTACCCGCATACCTGGCAAGCTTGGTTTGCTGTTGGATGCTATTACTATCAAATTGGTAAGTGCAATTGTTTTTATTTTTATCATATTTTAAATGTAGACAAACTAAGTGTTATTATTACATGATAATAAATACAGTTGTGTAAAGAGTAACAGTAGAGGTCCTTATGAAAGAGTTCGGCCAGGGAAGTACTGCCACGTTATCTATTTCTGCTGCCAAGGAGTAATGTCAGCATTACTGTGTTCCTGTTTTGAAGGGTAAGGGTGCTGGCACATGGGACTTGTCAACTTATGTCTCAGGGTGACGGGCGCAGTGGCAGCGCGCCTCTAATCTTTGCATTTAAAGAGCTGAGTGACACTGCAACTGTTATGGACAGGCGTGTAGCTTACCATCAGGCGCAAACTTGTTCGTCCTTTTCACTTGATATTATAAAACAAAATATAGATTCAGATTCATTATTTCTTAAATATAACACTACAGTATAAATTGCAGTACACATCGAAGTAAAAGAAATTATATTGAGATCGTCAGACAATAATGAAAATTATAAGTAAATACACAATAAATAGAAAATGAACAATTCATTATTTAATATTGTTATCATTAAATTACATATCAAATATCATTCTCCATCAAGGATCGTCATAAGTTGATAACAATTATACAAGAGTATGTTAATGCGGTAAAAATAGAAAATACTCAAATGTAGATGTATATTACAAGGCAGGAGCTCCCAAATACCAGCTTGACCCATTTGACTCCATCCAACGTAAGGTTGTTCCTTTTTTCGATGATCCCAAACTCGCAGACGGTATGGAGCCCCTTAGCCTACGGAGTGACTTTGGCTCTCTGTGTGTGTTCTACCGCGTTTATAATGGGGAGTGCTCTGATGATCTTTTCAAACTGGTGTCACTGTCTCGTTTCTAACATCACTCCTCCCGCCAAAGGAATAGAGTCCTTCTCCACATCTTAGATGCCTGGCATTGTTGGACCACGTGTTCATCTCGTCCGTTTCTTCCTCGAACTTGCAAGATGTGGAATGATCTTCCTCCTGAAGTATTTCCTTTGCGCTATGACATGGGGTTCTTCAAAAAGCGTGTTTACAGGGCTCTCAAAGGCTGGCAACGCATAGGTAGCTCATCTGAGGTTGCAAATGTCCATGGGGTACGATGAACACCTCCCATAAATTGGCTCGTCTGCTCGGTTGCCTTCTTCTTTACATAAAAAAAAATTACAATAACGACTTTACAGCTATTTTGACGATTTAACCTTCACTGGATTTGCGAAGTAGCAAATTAATTTACATCTACTGCTTTTTAACAGTAATCGTGTGTAAGTCGTGTGGGTCGTATGTGAACAAGTGTGTATTCGTATGTCAGGAATACGATCATTTCAAACACAATCCGCCAAAGTAAATGCGCTCCGAACATGCGCTCGCTTTCACAAATACCAACATATACTTTGCCGGGATACAACAACGTATATGGAATACATGCTACCAGAAATTCTGAACGACCAACCAGACACAGTGTTAAGTGACATTAAGGGTGATGTCAAGAAATGCAAAACTGTTTTAAAGAGACACTATCTCGGTTTATAGTAAAATATCTATAGCACTTATTTAAATGTGGACATATACTCTAGAACTAGTTAATATTGTAGTGAATTGTAAGTTAATTTAACTGTCGAGCTTGTTAGCTCTTCACTAGGTGGTTAAACCACTTCACCTAACGATAAAGAAGAGTCGCTTTTTATAAAATTTGTTCTTGTAATTCAATAAATAAATTAAAGTAAAGAAAAAGCGACACGACTGTCTATAATAGTTGTGCCGTTCAGAGCTTCAAATCGTAAAGATTTTAGGGGCACTTGCCACTGCGCCCGTCACCCTGAGATAAAAGTTGACATATCCCATGTGCCTGTAGTTTCACCAGCACCCTTATCCTTCAAAACCGGAAGTTACGCTCACACTACTGTTTCGCGTTTGGAACTCCTTTACAAGGAGCTCTAAAGTAATTATATACAATTTTATTTAGTAATTATTAGTTAGTAGTAATTATTAGTTTTATGTAAGTACGTAATAACGTACGGGAGCATTTGAACGTTGTAGGCAAAAGTGACTTAGCACGGCGGTACCTCAGCAAAGCAAAGAGTGTAGAAGCAGGCGCGGGCTGTGTGTGGCTGGCCTACGGACACAGCTTCGCGCATGACGGAGAACACGATCAGGCTATGGCGGCATACTTCAAGGTACGAATTTAATTATCGATAGGGTGGTCAAAAATGGCGGGGATTCAAACCACGGCGATGGTTTGAATCCCTGTCACGGTATTATAGCATGGTTACGTAGCTCAGGTGGCGTAGCGAGAGGTACTTTATAAATATAAACGACGATGTATCATAATTATAACTTTATACGTGTATTTAATTTCGAAGCTTTATCCAGAACTCCTAGATGTCTGTTTGACATTAACACTCTGGTATTCTTACAATTGTAAATACAAAACTTTAAAAAATTGTAAATACTACAGTATGTACAGTCGATGCTCTAACGCACCTGACCCCCTTTGCAACCTTTAGTTCTGAGAGCTTTCTTACGCATTTAACAGAAAAGTGTAAAGGCTTTTTGGTTTAAATTTATATTTGGAGTCAAAGATCAAATTGGCTTTAAAAGTTTCTTAAAACATCGTTCACTAATATTGCAATAAGGAAGTCATATCAAAATGAATTTTACGGCTCACAGGTTAAAGGTTAAGTTTGCTTAACACCTTTCCTCACACTGATCTACTCAAAACCAAATAGTCGGTCAGGTATCTTAGGGCATCAACTGTACCTATGACTTTAATTTGTAAGTTTATTTTAAATTTTTTCAATATTTGAAGTTCATGGTAGTAAAAACATCATGATTTTCAATAAAATAATTATTGCAATTAATATAGCGACATCTCGCAGCAGTCTCTGGTAGCTGTAAAGGTACCAGGTTGAGTGAAGAAACTTTCATAAGTTTCTCGCAAAACAAAGATCAGCAACGGACACAGAGAAATTCGTCGTATCTGTTGACTCGACCTTTAACTCAGTTGGCTCAGAGGTGGCAAATGTTAATGCAAGTGGGCATGCCAACAGCTCCATTAACGATCTGGAAAATAGAGAGGTACTGTACGTGCACCCGAGGCATTAGCGTCTTGAGAACCGGATGAAGTCCGCGACAACGGTCTGTGACAACCCTGTCCACGGGCTGATATGGAGTCAGTGTCTGAACTTTACCTTATAAAACCTAGTAAGAAAGGCAGTGCTCTTCCCGTATACCCAAGGGGTTGGTGAGGAGGGTCACTATAAACAAAACTTATGTAGAAATATACGGAAATGTAGTTCAATTGGTAAGAGCGTAAGCCACGGTGAGTCAACAGACGCTGGTTCGAGTCCAGTCGAATTGTATCAATACTAATAACAAACTAGTAGAGTATTTTCCCAAAAAATATATTGTGAATACCATGGTTTATAACCATTATAACTCATGGATATTCAATGAAATAAATACTAATTAATATACTGTCTAAAACATTCTAGGCGAGCCAGCTGATGCCCGGTTGTCACCTGCCCCCTCTGTACGTCGGTGTGGAGTGCTCTCTACTGAACAACGTTGCTATGTGCGAGCGTTTTCTCACACGCGCTGCGCAACTACACAACTCTGAAGTACGAATTTTTGTTTAGTTTATTTACTTGTGTGTAGAGGGCCATATAATATATCGTCAACGTTTTAGCACGAATTGACGTAACTTGCAATTATGTCGGAAAAATCTTACTTACATATTTCGATTCTGTATATTATGAAGTGGAATGTCGATTATTTATCGCAGTTCTGCACATTTGTTTTCACATTTGTGCACATTTGCGCGCGCAATTATTTTACTGGTTTTTTTTTTTCAGGTCATGGCGACCATTGACCTCGAATAATCTCTAGTAACTAATCGAAATTCAAAATTCGTGCTCCGTCACTACATCTAGAACCTCTCTACGCCTATTGACCAATAATTGTATTTTTATGCTACAGTGGCGCGGCGTGAAAATTTTTGTTAGTAAAGCCGGTTAATAAAATAACAAACCTTGTGAGACAGAACTCACGAAGCGGTTTTGACCCGCGCCTGCTGCGGTTGCGGGACGGCGGTTTTGTGCGGTCACGTAGCCGCCACGGTTGCGGAACGGCCCGCAAACTTGGCGGGAGAGTATCGCAAGGCGCGCGGTTATTTACGATCGATTGAGATCGTCAATTAAGTCTCAGACGTCGCCATGGACTCACAACAAAAACGAGCTATCGCGTTATACTTACTTTATCGAAGAATTAAAAGAAGAAGGCCTAAAAGATTCAGGGTGCATCCTCTGATTCCGGGAAGAAATCGTTACGGATTATTCGTTGTTCTTATTAATGAGTTAAAAAAACAAGAAGACAAATTCTTTAATTTTATTCGGATGTCCGTATCTACTTATTCAGAACTTTTAAGAAAAATGGTAACTGGTAGGAAAATAATTGATCGACTTCAACATCCGTAACTTGCGAAATTGACACGCGCTGCCAAATCGAAAATCAACCACAAAACGGCGTGGGAAGGAAAGACCCAACCCGCGCGCGTGGAACGCGACGCCCGCGCCCTCTGCGGTCGGTCCGCGGGCGACGCGTTGCGCGCGCGCGGTTTGCGGCCGCCGCGAGTAACCGTCTCCGCTGCGGGCGTAAAACGCGTCGTGAAATGTGCTACTAAATTTTGCATACATTTCTACGTTCTTCGGAGGCCGTGGTCCCGCAACCGCAGCGGGCGCGGGTGAAAATCGCTCCATGAGTTCTTAGCCTAACAAAATCTTATTTTTTGTCATAAAAACTGTGCATATAATAATCGAATTGGACTAAAGCGGCTATTTACAAATACATAGTATAGAAAAAACAAAAAATGTACCTGTTAAAAAATCTTGAAAAGACGCCTTGGCGAAACTTAAAACAACACTTATTAACAGACAAGACACTAATAAAGTTAATTTCACTGGTTCCATAACACTAAATAATTAAAATTAAAGTAATAAATTTTATATTTAGCGTTCCATTATTTTAACAATTAATTACTTGTGAACAAAGTTTCATGTCGCTAGAATTGCGACAAATAAATGCAATTTTTGCCACTTTACTTTTTAATTAAAACTGCTAATTAACACGAGCTTCTCTTTCCTTTACGTAGGCTAGGCCTAGTAAAACAAAACACCTAAACAAACATTTTTGTAACGCTATTTATTGTTCAACATTTACAAAATGCTAATAGACCTTTTTTAAATTAATATGTTATTATAATATTTGTATCATGGTAAAAAAAAGTTTTAGACTTGGCAACAATCTTTCCTAAGAAACACATTGGCGGCAACTTAATACAGGTCTTTAAAAAATTAGTAACTTTCACGCTATAGTCCTAAGGTTTAAGTGAATATTCGACCATACAAATCAGACAAACAAATCAGACAAATACTATGATTGAAATGTAGCGAGTTTCAAAAAGGTAGGGTCTGAAAAACAGCTTAAGTTGAGACTCTATCCTTTTTATCTACACAGTATCTATAAGTGATGTTATTTACGACTAAACTGTTTTGTAAATGTAGATAAATAAAGTTCTTTATTATTATTATTATATTATCATAACTCCATCATTGGCGGTTTATCGGCGAGCCATTTCTACCAACGATGATAGCGGAAAACGTGAAACGATGCCGCGTCGTAGCTCGACGCGACGTCGTATTGTGTTTATATGTAAGAGCCCATACCCTACCCTTGAGGAACGGGCGAGTAATCACATTCGCATATTGTGCGATTTAAGTGCCAAGAAAACTTTGCTCACTGCGCTTCGGTAATTGTACATTGTATATTAAGGACGGTAAATAAAAAAATACTAACGAGGGTTTATTAGAAGCCGAAGGCTAGAGGCTTTAATAACCGAGTTTCATATTTTTATCGTATATGATACATACAATGCTTTTCACCACATTTGCGAGGAATATAGTTATATACACTATGTACATAGTTATGTGAATAAATATGGCACACAACACTACAATTATTATGAATTTTGCAAATGGCGGGGTTTTTTATCAACAGATGGCCAGCTAGCTATTCTTCCATAGATAATACAACTCGAACTAAAATGTTGTAGAAAGCAAAGATGCATATGAGTCATGATGAATAGCAAAATTTTTATACACAAAATAATTAAAATCAATTATAAGAAATTCGTTATAATTAGTATTTAACTAGTATGTGGCTGAATTAAATTTTTAACCGACTTCAAAGAAGGAAGAGGTTAAATTCGATTATATGTTTTTTTTGTATGTATGTTACGCGATAACTTATATTTGTGAACCGATTATGATGATTCTTTTTTTGTTAGAAAGAGGGTACTTCTGTAGTGGCCCCATTTCAATTCGAAGAAAATATTCCGCCTCTAAGGGTGGCAAACTAGGGGATGAATTCCTTTTGAGTTCTTAGTTTTTAGTACTTTATACTGATTTTAGATAAAATTTTAAGCGAATGTTTTAATTCTGAACTTAAGTAACCTCCTTGCTTGAACTTGAACCTAACCTATGCAAGGAAGTATAAATCGTGCTACAAATTAAAAAGAAAACTCCTTACCTACCATTTTTTTGGGGCATTAGAGTTAAGTTAGCCACTATATAATCATACTATTCACGAGCATGTGAAAAGTGATGAAAAGATATTTTGAATCAAATGTCTTTTCCAGTCGTCTTGTGAAGTGGCAGAAGAAGGCGACGAGAACGTAAGCGGGTGGGATCGGGTGGCGCAGTGCGCGACCGAACCCCACGTGGCACATGAGGCGGGCTGCGCCGCTTTCGCTGCCGGGGACACCGCCGCCGCCTGTCGCTTGTGGCTGCGTGCACTCGACACCGCCAGGAAAGGAAACGACGAGGTCAGTTGTACTCCTACCACAGTCTGGGAAATCGAGTACAACGTTGAACAGTCACCGAGTCCCAGAGTTTCGTTGCCAAGAACAGACTTTCTATTTTCAAGCAAAGTTACGCTACATAACAGCTTAAATAACTTTATTACACAAGGGTTTTTATACACAGATAAACAAATTACAATATACTGAGTTTTAAATAACTTTTTCTACGTTTATAATTAACTATTAATGCATAATTAATTTGCATGCATAGTTAACATATACACAATACACTAAGCATTTAACCAATTAATATTAGTATTAATGTACATTTGATAGCATTTATATTAAGGAATTATTAGCTAGATTTAAACACATTCGAAAATGCAAGAATCCGTTAGAATAACACTTAGTTTGAGCAGAGCGACTGCTCGTTGTCAACCGTGAAAAAGCTCCCGCTCGTCGTGTATCGGCCTTTTATATTCATGCACAAACAAAACCCGCCAGCCGGCGTCGCCGAGTCGTTAGCGCGTGGTGTTTTTCTGATACGCACGTGCTGTTTTACTTACTAATTATTCTGTATTGTATGTTCATTACGACATTGATTACCAAATCATCACTTAAATTACGCAACTACCTAACACATTATCGTTCAGTTCAATCGCCAACGCGATTAAATAATAACGATCGATGATTGCAATTGACTCATTTGTTCACTTTTCACATTAATATTTTGAAAATACAAAAGATAAATTACACTAAAACGGACTCGCATACTTTCCAAGTCATTAGCATCAACAGCTCTTTTTGTCAATGCGCGCTCGTTTTAAAGTACTATATAGCGCGGATGTGTGTCAACAAGCGGGTATACTAAAGTGACACTGGGCGGGTCAGGTGACGGTATAAAATTATAAAATAAATTGTGGTTGTTCATTTAACCGATATGTAGGATTTTATAATACTCTATGTGAGTAAGGAGCTTTGCCAAATAAAACTGAGAAATACTAAACTCACGTGTTATGCTCAATTCAGTGAATTCAGAACTTTAAAACGCTCCCCTGTAAACTTGGCAATTTCGACATACGATACTTTACGTAGGAGCGTTCGATATATGTCAAAGTTTAGAACATAATTTTAGCTCATATTCAATCAAGTCAATATTTATATAATATTACAAGGAAAAAAGCTAATTACTTGTATTTCATCTAAAAGAGGAATTAATGGATGTCCACGGCCATTTACATAACATAAACGACTTCTAGGCTATTGATCAGCGCCGTTTAGATGTAAGACGAAATTTTGGCCTTTTTCAGAGCTACGATCTACAGTATGCAGATTAACAATCCTCTCATGTTATTGGACCATGTTATAATGTAAATATTTTATTTCTCCGAGTGATGTTAAAGGGTGACTGTACTCATGACAAGAATCAAACCTATATTAGTATTTTTGAGCAGTAATAATACATTGTTATAGTTGAAGAAGTATTATTTGCACCGATTAATGTTACTGCTTGAAACGGCTCATCTTTTCTGTTACAATGGAGTAATAAAATTATTTAAAATTAACCCTTCTTTTACTTAAAGCGTACGTGAATTTAAAGATATAGTAGTTAAAGCACGCTATGATGACCGTTTTGACGTTTGTCCGCTCATCAAGTTTCCTATTAATTCATAACTACGTTGAAGGAACTAATTGCCCTACATTGTTGTCAATAGTGACGTGCAGTAAAATTTATGAATGAATATGAATTTTACGATACAACTCCGCATTTGTTTATCGAAATTCGAAATTTAAAAAAATTAAATCTGATACGATCGTCACTTATGGGATCGCTGGCCAGCACAACTTCTACCTCCGTCAAAGCTCAATGCAAAACAAAGCAGTTTCGAATTGACGATATATTAGTAAACATTTTTATTTTCGATGTATTAAAACTTTCTAATCAGCTACCCTTTACAATGCTAGTAACAAATCGATCGAAAACATATAGATGCGACTCGCATTTGATTATATTTTTTTCGATAATGAATTGAGATCTCACTATTGTAATCGTCAACACGGCCATCATACCGTGCCGGTATAGTAGCATACGAACGACCAAATTTGATAAAAAAATATATTATTAAATTTTAATAATATAATTTAATTTTGATTATATTTCATCTTCATGAATATATTCACGCCTCAACGCAACTCGAATAAATAAAATATAAATACGGTGACAACTTTGAAACGAACTATGTAGGGTAGTTCGTTTCAAAGTAATGTGTTATCACTACAATGCACTGAGAAACTATTCCGTACCAACGTACAAGAATAGTGAATTACCAAATATCGTAATAGACAGAGCGTAAGAGTGTATGAACCTAAATTTCACTCAATTTTAATTTTAATTTTAAACCACATGGAATATTCCATAATATTCTAGAATATTCAAGTAATAAAAATTTCCACCAAAATTAGGTAGTGAAAACTAATCTGAAAATTATCCGAATAACACCTCCCTCAAAACCTGGAACTATTCTATTGTATTCTGTATTTTTGATGTGTAGTTAACAACTACTTTACTATAATGAAAATATAATATATAATTTGTTTTGATTTTTTTTCGTCTTTAATTTTTAATCGTCTCTGGAAACCAGAGAGAGTTATTATTCACCCTATTTGTGTTACTCGAAGTTTAGGTAATTATACTATTTCGAGCTCTGCTGATTACCGTAAATTCGATAGCCTTTATTTACGTCTTCCAAGCTTCGAATAGTACGTTAAATTTTATTAAAACTTTGTAAAATGATGAAATATCAACAGTACGTCCACTAACCACGGTTTTTAAATAAATTTCTACTTGTAATGTTATCTAATAATTGGAACGACTCAGACAGATATCTATTAGTGTTAATAATATCAAGCAATAACCTAAAAATTCCTATTGAATCGTATCCTCGAAAAGTTATTTGTTTTTGACACCTTCGGGTATTTTAATAAACCAATTAGTACCAGTGTAGCTCTTTGTGGAATAGTTCGTCCGGGAAATTATTGACACCATATTTCTGCCGCCAAACAAACTCAAACTCAAATGTGTTTTTATTTCGTAGACAAACAAATAACACTTGAAATCGTCATATTGATTAAACTCTACTACTCGTTCGTAAGGCAGATTCCCCTGAAAAGTATGAGTATAAGAAATTCTAGAACAGGGTGTCTTAACCTGTGATCCATGGTGAGCCTACCTAATACAGCGTTAACGTGAAAATTGGATACAATATGTAGTGAATACATAGGTACAGTACGCGTGACCTTTTTGAATTTCTGCGCCATTAGACGGCCATCCATTATTAGAGCGAAACGCATGTAAGTGTAACGTCAACGCCTTTGATGTTCTAATTATGATTATAATTCAGCATATGCAGCAGCAATCATCACACCAACTATTCATATGTAAAGTTTAATCACATACAATAAATGCCGGTAAAACCTAAACCGCGTATTTTTATTTTTTTGGAAAGTGGGCTCTATGAAATTTTGAGATGGCTCCAGGACTAGAAAAACGTTGAGAAAACAAGCTCTAGGGGTTGCCATGTGTAAATAAACATTTGTTCAAATTGTCATTTGCAATATTTATTTCAAATATCATAAGATCCAACAACCAGCAAAAGCTAAACTACCAAGTATTTTTGTCATCCAAGTACGCAGAACCTTTACTACTCGTATAAAGTTATTTACTTATATTGATTTCATTACTGCGTTTCGGTTTTGATGGATAGAAGCGCTGATGAAAATATAGGCTCGTGGGCGTTGTCAACTTTGCGATGAAAACTCTGAGCGGCACTACACCTGTTACATTATATTACATTAATAACTAGAGGAAAAATTCACTCCCAGTTGTTATATTGTCTCAAAAATAATAAACAATATCCGTTAATTAATTTTCAAATGATTTTTATAAAAAAAGAAGAAATATCCAAAAAGTTGTCCGTTCTTAGTTGTTTTATAAACTGCACCTGTAGTACTCGTTTTTTTTTATCATCGTGCTTCTTGTTATGAGTGTGCGTCTATGACATAAACACATTTTTTCTACAATCTCATCTGGATTTTGATGTTCTATGATTTTTATTCATTAAAAGATACATTAGTTAAAAAAAATCGTACTGAACTCACCCATTAAGTTTGTTGCCTCCTAATCATATTATAAAAAAATAGACATTTTTTTTTCAGCACTGGCAACCGTGCTATGCTTACGTGTAATCAGAGCCAATTTACTAATGACATTAAATGTTTAAAAACTGAAATTGGCGGAAGTTAAATTATTGAATATAATCTTATAAATAATAAAATTATTTTATCGAATATTATAAATAAGAGAATTCAATTCAATTCAATTTATTACTCCACATAAAGATTACAAAGGTCTTAAATAACATATAGGTCCTGATTATATAATACTCTGTAAGGGCATAGCAATGAAGGGCAGATTACACCTATTTTATAAATAAATAAAACACAATCTCTAAAACAATTAAACAACCTGCAAACTTAAACATGCTAGCTCTTATACTTGTACTAGTAATACTTAACTATTATATAATAATATATTTATACCTAATATTTATCTTCGAAAAATTCGTTCAGATGTAATAGCATTTTTGTACTAGAAAGCTTTTTAGTTCTACATTGAATATCTTAATTTTATCTATGCGTTTAATTTGGTTGGGTATTTTATTATAAATTTTTATTGCCCATGGAATGCGGGCCAGATCTACATATAATATGGAGTTTTGATGAAGGTATTTTTAATTTGTATTCATTTCTATTATTCCTTTTTTATTAGTTAGTGGCATCGAGTATATAACAAGAAATAGAGGCGAAATGTCATTTAATTTGTTTGAAAACTATTCTGCCATATCATTACTGTGACAATTGCGCTCCGATTGGCTAGCCCGAATTCGAAACAATTGACGGGTGTCGTCAACTATTTCACTTGAAATCGACCAGTTTACTTAAACTTTGCTATAATAGACGAAAATTGCAAAATTACATATTTAATATTCAATTACCGATGAAAACTGATTCCGTTTGTTTTATAATTAGAAGTTTTGCTGTTTTTCCCCACACCACCGAATGAAACAGCACGCCATTGTTAGAGATATAATCTTTATTACAATAACTACAGAATATTGTTGGAATATACGGAGAGGTAACACACAGGTCAGTTGTTGGCGCTGTGTATATTTATCTCTGTCTGTTTATAAGCGAAATATCACTGATGAGTTACCAGGAATGTATGGCCCTTATTTCGTCTCTATTTCTGGTTATATACTCGATGATTTTGGTACATGCGATAATTAGAAAAGAAATAGTTTTTATTGGAAATGTAATATATACATAAAAGCAGCCGCAGTGACAAAAAAAATCGAATTCATTTTGTATGGAAATGGACCGTGACGTTCCCCCTTAATTAACACTTCTTTTTTACCGTTTTCGATAGTAATTAATAGCAGCCAAGAAGTAATGCTCTTTCTCAGCTCAATCACTAGCCTTTTTCAAAAAATTTTATTCGCCATGTCGTCACCCCACCACCAGCCAACACCTCACAAGTTACGTTCAGGAATTAACTTAAAAAAACTCTTTTGGTTGGCTCTTTACCTGTAAATATTTTTATTTTTTTTATAATAATCACGCACACACTCAACATAGACCCGCACTAGGGAAATCCTGTGTCGCGGATGCCATGGACACATACATAGACAACCTCAAATTACACCCAAACTCACGAGACAAATAAACATAGGCCATACAAATATTTCTCCCGGCCCGGGAATCGAACCTGGGACCTCTACATGGCAGTATCAGTAGCATGGTAACCGTTCGGCCACGGAGGCAGTTAAAATAATTAGCGATGAAGTAAGGTGTTGACAGATGACGCGAGACAACATCATGCTTCTTAGCAAATTTACAAGCCTCTAAAATATATATTGACGTAAGTGTTAAAATATTATATTTGGAAATGAAACTATTTTTCCGGATTTAAATTGCGTATATTTGTTTTTTCAAACAAACCGACGTTTCGGGCCCTTTACAACCAAAAACCTAAGAACAAAACCTAAGAACTCGATATATTATATTTGGTAAAGTAGGGTCTATATGAATCAGCATTTTAACAACAAATTATGAAAAGTAACACTGTGACGTTATCTATCGGAACCCAATTTAAACTAACAAGTGCATAAATACATTAAATTGCAATCATACTTTTATTAATAACATTTATTTAAAATAACAATAGAATAACATTATATTTACATACGAATATTTTATTGAGGGTAATCCAAATAAACAATTTTCTTTTTTTGCATTCTTTCATTATTTTCAACTGCCAAGGGAAATTTATTCTATTTTGAATTTGAAATCGTTGTAAACAGGTGAGTGCTAGATGGGCACCAACCCTAGACGCATTAGGCCACGCGTGTCGGCAACTGGGGCAGCCAGCTGAGGCCCTCCAATGGCACGAACGCGCCCTAGCCTTGCGGCCCGGCCGAGCGTCCACCTACGCCGCCATGGGGCTATGCCTGGCCCTACTGGGGCGAGAGACTGATGCCGCTGATGTGTTGCACACAGCACTCGCTAAAGACCCCGATGACGTAGTGTCGTTAGCTTTGTTGGACGCTATCGTTGATAGACTTGACTCTGCTTTAACTGGTAAGTTCATATATACATTGTTTTATTTTAAACAAAAAAAGGAGGAAACGGGCGGGTGTGTAAAAATAATGTAGGTTAATAGTAGTCGGATTAGTTTGGTGAGTATCAGAAGGTACCGTAATTTTCAGAAAATGCTCCGCATCAGGTAGAGGGACTTGTGAACATTATCTCAAGGTGACAAGGACTTTGCGATTTAACAATCTGAGTCTGCATTGTTAGGCCTTTTCCAGAGTGGCGGCGGGCACGGGTGCGGACGCGGGTGCGTGTAAATCAAATAATGTACGTAGACGCTCCTTGCGTTCACAGTGGTCACGCTCGCCGCACGGGTATACATACATTGTCTCGGTCCGCCTGTACCTTTCACATTGCTTGGTCTAGCGTCTAGCGCCTGTTTGCGATTTCGACATGTGGATCTATCCCTTCGTAGCCGCTTCGGCACTGTGCAAGGGAAGATGCCAAGACCCGTGCGCCCGCACCCACCACCATGCCCTTAAAGATAGGCGTGTCGCTTACCACCACAGTAAATACGACTCGTAGGGTTAATATTTTTTATACCAATCACAACATATAGAATAAAAAAGCGCAGCTTTACAGTCCATATTATGATAATTCCAGAGGAAGAAATCCCCTCGCTGCCTTTCCCGGCCGTGACAATTTCGGTGCCGACTACTACACCGGAACCGGACGCCGACGCTACCAACACTGCAGACATGAGCATGAGTTTCGACTGATTAAGTCTCGGAACGGTCGATGATCACTATATCAGTTATAAGCGGTTCAACACCATGTAAGAATTGGCAAGTTAAATTTAACCTTCACTGTGTTGCCGACTTTTAAACAACTTATAATTACTTACAGCGATCGAGGATTCGAACTAAGTGTGATAAGACATTTAACTATGAAACACGCACCATAGCGGGTGCGGGTCGGGTGCGTGTCGGGTCGGGTGCACGGCGGGTGTACTTCCGTATATATTTATGGACGACAATACACCACGCGCGAACGCGGGATGGGCTCAGGTCGGGTCCCGCGCCCGCTCGTTGTGTGTTGTCCATATATTACTTACTACCTTTTACTGCCTCTGTGGCCAAACGGTTCTCACGCCGGACTGCCACGCAGAGGTCCCAGGTTCGACTCCCGGGCCGGGAGAAATATTTGTATGGCCTACATTTACTTCTCTCGTGAATTTGGGTGTAATTTGTGATTGCCTCTGTGTGTGTCCATGGCACCCGCGACACAGGGTTTCCCTAGTGCGGGGCTATGTTGAGTGTGCGCGTTATTATTATTATTGTTATTATATATACACACACGGAATTACACCCGCCGTGTACCCCACCCGACCCGCAACCATTCTCCCTTTCATCTCCCGCCTGTTCGGTATATCAATGCCTACACGTCTGTCGAAGCATAGGGTTATCACATTACACGATTTTTGTTTCTGAGTCAACAATATCATTTTCTAATTGGTTATAACATGTAAACATTGTGAGATTATATAAATACCACTATGTAGCTATGTAAATACCATTGTGAGAGCCACAATAGCTAAGTTTCAGGGGTGTAGATACTCCTTTACACATACTTATGTATGCTGCTCAGTTACACAGAAACTAATACTGAGAAACCAGAAAAACACTTATCGTCGGAGATAGTACAATTACGCGTAACTAGCATTTGATTATGGGTCTTCATTTCGGTAATTTAGTGGCCAAATAACATCCGCGTAAATGTCGTAGCAACCAAATTCGCGTGACTTACGGAAATCTATTGTTATCAGTCCGTAGACAACATAAATTAATGCTTACTGTGCAAAAATGAAAGCCGTACCCATTGAAATAACAAAGTAATAACGTTGAATCCCTCTCCTGTCAAATTTGGTTTGGTGCAGTTACGCGCTTTGTACCAATACCACGCGGATTGCACTATCCCCGACGTTATACCGAATTATTATGGAGCTTGGTAGTTTATTCCCAGACAAATTCAACCAGCCGCAACTTTTTTGGTAGATATAAGCTGAAACAGATTAGCAAAATAATTAAAAAAAAAATGTAAACTGCATTTTTTTCAAAATTCATTTAAAATAATTGTAAGGTAGACAATGAGGAAACACACAACATTGCGATATTAAAAAACACCACAGTGACAGATTCAAAACATCGAGTATATAACCAGAAATAGAGACGACATGAGGGCCATCCATCCGTGGCATCAGGCAAATGGGGCCTTATATCAACTCTCATTTATGCTGAAATAGTACAGCGCCAACAACTGATCTGCGTGTACGTCTCCGTATATTCCAAAAATATTCTGTATTTATTGTAATAAAGATAATATCTCTGACAATGAGGGTTGTTCCATTCGGTGGTGTGGGAAAAACAGCAAAACATCTAATTATAAAACAGAAACGGAATCATATTTCATCGGTAATTAAATATTAAATATGTAATTTCTCAATTTTCGTCCTTTACAGCAAAGCTCAAATTAACTGGTCGATTTGAAATGAAGCAATTGACGACACCCGTCGTTGTTTCGTATTCAGGCCAATCGGAGCGCAGTTGTCACAATAATGATATGGCAGAATAGTTTTCAAACAAATCAAATGTCGTTTCGTCTCTATTTCTGGTTATATACTCGATGGTTCAAAAGTAACTTGACTAACTCGTAAGTTTGAAGTGAATGTTGACAATAAATTGTACTAAAAACCTTTCAATAGACTTATACAGAAAGTAAATACCAAAATGGTAATTACTGTTGTTTTTGTAATTCACAAATCGTCAGCTTAGACCCGGAGGATTGTTCCGATAAACGGTGATTTACGTTACACCGTGCCGTGTCACAGTCCAATATTTACATTGTGCTTTTGTATGAACTAATTCATGTTAGATCGAGTCGAGTCGAGTCGAGTCCGTGTCCCGACCGGAACACGACCAACATGTGTAACATGAATTAGTTTATATACTAGCAGAATATAGTTTTAGCGATTACTTCCTTTAAACTGTCAGCGTGGCAAAGCGGCAAGCCGTAAATTTCAATCCCACTTCTGATTTTAGCGATGAAGTGGAATTTGTCTTAAAAAAACAATCTTTAACAGAAATAAATCAGTTAACAGTTTTTGTTTTTATAATTGTGGGTAATTACACAAAATAACTAACAGAAATAAAACTAAAACCTAGCCATTTAACCACCTGATTAAATAGTACGAGTAATGACAAAATAAATCGCGATAAACAGAGCGAGCTCGGATGACCATGGCTACGACTGGCAGAGCTCAGATCCGCACCGTAGGAAGTTTAGGATAAAAATGTGTCGTCTGTCGAAGCGAGCTCTGTTTATATAGCCTGAGGTTTGTGTCCGTCAACTGTTTGCAGTTTGCAAATCAGCCTTATTAATGATCCCGTTACACCGTAAGTCTACTCCTTTCAAAAATTTTGAATTATTAGTCTTTGCTAAGTAAGAACGAATTAAAAAGTTACAATATGTATGATAAATATAAGAAATAAAACAATTTTTAATTTTTTTCGGTTCGAAATTCCTTTTTTTTTCAACGTTCCGGGCCAAAGGGCCAAGGTCCGGAAAAGGAAAAAAAAATTGTTTAATTTCCTATGTGTATGTGTAATCGCGAAAACCTAAGAACTCAATAATATAAGCTTTGTGATGATGCGACCTCTTTTATCGTCATCCCACCTTTCATTACCGTTTTCTCTGGTTCCTGCCCACTTACTTTTAAACTTTTGAATTGTTCTCCAATTCTTTTTCTTCGTCATTACTTTGCTTCGTTCGTCATCAAAAAATCAAAATTATCGGATAGAAAAGACATGTTTTCCAATCATGTAAACCTAGTTGCTTATAAAGCAGCATGATATATATTTAAATATATATCATGCTGCTTTATAAGCAACTAGGTTTACA